TTTGTTTCCAAAGTTCAATGGTGGAATAGGCACAAGGTAGACATTTCCATTACAAATGGAGAAATTGAAGGAAAAGAAAGGATAACAGGCACCAAGCAAGTCCAAAGACCAGCAGAACAATTTATATTAGCTCTCAAGGCTTGACAATAATCCTCTGTTCTTTGGGACCATCTGGGCAATGGCCCCGCCCTCCAGACTCTGGGTATTGGCCACACCCTATGGATTCCGGGTGGAGGCCCCTTTGCCCTGGCTTCAGTTCCACTTTCCAGGCCCTCTGGGAAGGTAACTCTGCTCCCTTGGCTTTAGGCAGCCCCGTTCTTAGTCCATCTGAATGACAACCCCATCCCCTAGGCCCTGGCATGCCCTGTTCTTCCACCCCTTGGGCATGGTGGCCCTGCCCCCTCAGCTTTGGGCAGAGGCCCCATCCCCCTGGCTCACTTTAACAGCAGCCCTACACTCAGGAATTGAGGTGGCAAAGATCTGATTCTTTGAAACCTAGGAAGGCTGTGGCCCCACCCTTTGAGATCCAGGAGACTGTGGCTCCACTCTTTGAAACCAAAAAGGCCCTGCTTTCCATGCTCCTTCCAACAGTTCTACTTATCTCTGAGCTGCTCCAGGGATGGTCCTTTTCTTTTCTTGGAAGACAGCAAATGTAACTTCTTTGACCTGTTTCTTGCATGTAGAATTCCAAGAGGCAGACGGCATTCTTTCCTTTAGTTCTTTCTCTGTCCCCTTCAGTCCAAACTGATGGGTTTTCTGCTGCGGTTGTTGGTTAGAGCCATCATTCACAGGCTTAAAAAAAAAAAAGACTAGCTGCTGAAGCTGCTTATGTACAACCAAACATCTCACAGGATTTGGTTCCTCGGTTTAGAGGTTTAGGGTCATGGTTTCATGCGACATTCTATTAATTGGCCTAATAACATGTTTAGTGCTTCTGTTCTACCTAATTCATTGCTTAGTGGCTGGGGTCTTAAAAGCTTGCAAGCACCCATCTAAGGCACAACAATTGGTCTCTATTCACCTGGAGCAACAAAGGAAGGAGAGTCAGGAACAGGAGGAGGATATGGAATGTGTGGCTAATTGCCTCCATGAACAACTGCCATGTTTGCCATGAGGCCAGAAGAACTGGATTGTGCCCAGCTACCATTACTGAACATTTTCATCAAGGATTTTATAGAGGTATCCTGATTAAAAGGAGGGAAATACACAACAGAAGTTTGAAATTCTCTTGGACTCCAAACTTTCTGGAGCCATGGAGGCTGGATGTACCCTTGAAACTATTGCCCTGAGATAATCTTTAAACCTTAAGCCAAAAATATCCCCTGAAGCCTTCTTAAAATCAAACAATAGTTTAGCTTAACTAGTAAAAAATGTCTGCCTTGACCCCAGAAAGCATGGCCTCTGGATTCTCTATCAGCCTAGAACTAAAACCATTTCCGAGGCCAACTCTTGAGACAGGGATTGGACTGGACTGTGGGACATAAAGTGGTACTTGTGAGGAGTATGCCTCTTAGCTCAAGTAGATACAAGAGACTAAACAGGCAGCTTCTGTCCGGAGGTGAGAAGGGAAGGCAGAGAGGGTTAGGAGCTGGTTGAATGGACATGGGGAATCAGGGGTAGAAAGGAGGAGTGTGCTGTCACAGTATGGGGAGAGCAATTAGAGTCACATATCAGTTTATGTATAAATTTTTGTATGAAAAAAAAAATGTCTGCCTTGAGCATTATGCTCCATTTTATGGGATTAAATTGACAACAGGAACTCAAAAGATTAGACAGGAACCTTAGGAGGCAATGAGTTTATGTTAAAGGGGGAGGAATAACTCAGAAAAGGAGGATGAGAATGGTTGTACAACTCGAAGAATGTAATCAATGTCACTGAATTGTACATGTAGAAAATGTTGATTTGGTGTTTTTGCTGTGTGTATTCTCAACAACAAAATAAAATTTTAAAATAAAAGAAGAAAAGAAAGGTCTGAAGCGATAACAAGAAAATCAGAGTGGCAGAAAAAATGTCCACGACAGACTGGAAAAGCAAGTTGGGACCAAAGTGTGAAGAGGTGTGGGTGACCAGGGCCATAGGCAGAGGTGTTTAGCAGGGGTTACATGATCAGATGGTTTTGAGAATGGCCACTCTGGAAGTACAAGGAGCATGCTGGCATAGTCCAAGCCAGAGCTATAGTAGGGCCAGGGGATGGACACACTTGGGGAAGGAGGTTTGCATAAGGTGAGGGGGTGTGGAGGAGCTCCATTCTGAGGGGCTCATTCCTGTGAAGAGAACAGTGGGCAGGTAAACTCATCTAGAGCTCTGCAGTGAGTGTGGGCTGGACAGCTTGGCTTAGAAGTCACCAGCTAATCATGGTATTTGAGGCCATGGGGATGGATGAGGGTGTGTGATGGAATAGAACAAAGTTAAGCATATAGGTGACAGAGAGGACATCTGTGAAAGTTAAAGTAGAAACAGAACAGTAAAATGCGTCAAGAACAGGAGGTGATCAGGCATGCCAGGTGCAGGTGCAGCGTCAAGTAAGATGAGGCCTAGAAAATGCACCCTGCCTTACGGATTGAGAGATAACTGATGGTCTCGGCAGGAATAGTTTCCATTCAGCGCTGAGAGAAGGAGCAAGATGGCAGAGGTGCTAAGCTAGGCCCTGGGCAAAAGGCACATATGAGACAAGTTACCCTCTTCCAAAGGAGTCCTCATGGAACAACGGTTAAGCATTTGGCTGCTAACTGTAAGGCTGGCAGTTTGAAGCTTAGAACCCACCAAGCAATTCCTCAGGAGAAAGACCTGGCGATCTCCTCTCATAAAGAAAACCCTATGGGGCAGTTCTACTCTGTCACACTGGGTCACTATGAGTCAAAAATCGACTTGATGGCACCTAACAACAACCTTCTTTCAAAGCTGTCTTGTTTTTATCGTTTTGAATAATCTAACTTTTTTGATCCCTGTACACTCTCTCTTGCTCAGACTCTTGTCCATTTTTGAGATGGGCATTTGTTTATGTCACATGAACCAAGACTACAGGTGAGTTAGGAAGTTCTGCCTGCTAGTGGAGACACGTCCAGCCGAGTGGGAGCAGGGCATGTTAAACTCGATTGGATGTGCTTTCAGAATGATTTGTCCAAGTAGGGTGTGGATGGAAGTGCAGCCCAATAGATAATGCTGGCAAAGGAGTGACTGTAACAGTGGCTCCCCTTAACAAACAAAACCTGTGTACATTTATATTTCTGAGTGTACACACCCTCTACCTGTGTGGATTGAGAAGACCTAAGCCCTCATTATGACTGTGTTAAAGGTGATGGGAAGGTGAGACTTCAGATAGTAGTGAGAGGGAAGAGAAGTCACAAAAATGATTTTGTTTTACTATTCATTCATTCATGCATTCATTTGCGTATTTCTTAGGAGGCGTTCCTAAGTGCTCTAAGTTTCAGGGTGGAAGAGAGAGAAGTTGAGGGAGTTTTGGCGTGGGGTAATTTTTCTCAGCGCCAGCTGAGGATGAGCAGCTTCCTCAAGATCTCAAAGCACCAGGTGATGTAGAATCAGACAAAAAGCAGTTTCCAGTTCGGGCTTTACCCACACTCATAAACTGAGCAAGCTACTTAACTTCTAGGAGCCTTACTTCCCACAACTGTAAAATGGGATAGCTTACAGGCTTGTCGTGAGACCAAAACCACAAATTCCCTAAATTCCAAATAGGCTTGTGACAAATTATTAATAACAGTGATAACATTCCAGACACTGGATTTTATCATAAGAATTCTCATTTGCTTCTCACAACCCTACAAAGCAGACACTATTAGTATCCGGGTTTCAGAGATTAAGAAACTGAGGTTTAGAGACATTAAATAACATTATAAATACTGCAACTAAGTGGCAGAACCAGGATACATAAATGCCCCTTTCAAGGTTTTCTGTACAAAGATTAGGGCCACATAAGTGCATTTAGTTCTAGTAATAAAAGTATTATTAATGTCTTTGGCTAAAAGAATTCACTTTTAAACTGTTGCTTTGTCTTTCACTAGAAGTCAGAATGCAATTCTACCTTCGAGAAGAAGGAACAGAGATTGGAAAAAAAAAAAAAGGCAAGAACGTGCACAATGTGTCTTTACAGGTAAGGGACTGGGTCAGGCTCTTGTTTCAATGTCTTCCTCTTGGACAAAACTCAAGTATGTAAGATATTTTCGGAAAATAGGACATTTTAAAAGTACTTTATAATCTCAGATTGGGGGACTGCTTATGCCTTATCTGCAGATTTGAGAAAACGGTGATGCTCAAAGGCAACCTCCCATCACTAAAAATAGACTGGCTGAGACCCACCCGCAAAAAGGAAACAGAACGCCTTATGTTACGGTTTTAGGAAAACGTGGGCCAAGGCTTTCGCGACCCAGTTACCATGTCCCCACCTAGGCCCTTTTATGCGTCCCGGGAACCGAGATGTGGACAGAAAGCCTTTTTTCTTTGGGTTACAGGAATATGGCATCACCCATTTTCTACCCAAGGTGGAGCACGGTCCGGGACGCGCGGGGTCCTGATCTCCCAGGAAGGGCCATTTGCTTTGACCTTGACGGGCAGCGCGACCTTGAGGCCTAAGATCGCCTCAGTTGCCCCCTCTGTGCAACGGGGACACGTGACCTCATCGTCTGGATAGAGTCCGAGCTGCATGCCGGCGCTCTGGCCTCCGTCCTCTTCCCTGCACTCCACTCGCCCCCGCGTTCTTACCCGGCTCCCCTCAAGAATCCTTCCCCAGTGTTCCCCGCTCCGCCAGCCCAGTGCCGCAGCCACCGCGACGCGGCCCGCAGGCGGGAACCCGCTTTCCGTCCATCACGCGCCAGCGTTCCGCCCTTTCCCTGCCCGCTGGCGCCGGGGTCTCTGCCTATAGGCCAGTGGTACCATCATTCCGACTGGGACGCGATCACGATTGGTAACTGCTGGGGCGCGCGACCGGCTGTGGGCGGGGCCCGGGCCCGCTATAAAAGGGGCAGGAAGCCACGCTGGTGCCGCTTTGCAGACGCTGCTGCGTGAATCCGTGTTTTCTTGTGTTACTGCTGCGCCCAGCCATGGTCAACCCTACGGTGTTCTTCGACATCGCCGTCGACGGCGAACCGCTGGGCCGCGTCTCCTTCGAGGTGACTCGGACGGTGCTGGGGGCGGGAGGCTCGGGGGCAGCAGTGAGGGCTGAGGCGGGCCGCCCGCCCCAACGAGCGACCGAGGCCGCCGCGGCGCCCGGCCCGACTAGGGGAGGGCCGACCCGGGAGCGCGGGTGCGGCCGGCGGGCGGGGTGGCCGCGGCGCCATTTCCTGAAAAGGGGCCATTTTGGAAGGCGGGCGAGGCGCGGGGAGGAGGCTGGGGGCGGCGGGCAGACAAAGGCACGGGGGGCGGAGCGGGCCGCTGCCCCCTCCCTCAGCGGCCGCGCGGGACTACTGCCCCGTCCCCCTCGCGTGGAGCTCGTGCTTGGGGCCGCGCGCCCACCCGCCGCCGCACGTGTTGCCAGCGCCCTTCCGGCGGAGGCGGCCGAGCGCGCACGTGCTGCGGCCCCGCCTGGAATTCGGGGTCTGGTGCGGGGGAGATAGAAAATAGTCTCTTATGGGTTGGGAACGCCCTAAACACAAAAAGGACGTTCGAAAGCCGTTTTCCTGAGTTTTGTAGCTATTGTCCTGGGAAATTGTCTATTTCGAGAGAGTTAGTAAAAGGTTTGGGTTTATTTTTTCATCCGGGTGGCTGGAAAACTACATATTTGAGGATTTCTTCTCACGCACCAAGGTATGTGTTTGAGCTGGTTTATATTGGTTTAGTTGTCCGGTGACTTCCGGAAGACCATTTTTTAAATTTAGAGTTTGTTAAGAGAATGTGAGATTGATTATGACTTACTTTGAATGCTTTTCTGGTTAGTTTAATACCTGCAAGTTTATTTGGAAATAAGCCCTGGAGTCCCTTCCGGCTCTCCCGCCGCAAGCGGAAATCTAAAGGCCGGTCTTCGTTTGCTCACACCCAACGCCCGCCTTGCTCTGCAGTGACTAAGATGTGATGGAGGCTTTCGAGCCTCTGCCAAATAACTGTTCCTCTCTGTAACGGGCAGGTCTAGGCAGGCAACACAGTACGTTTCTTCTGAGCCAGGTGTGTTAAAAATAGTTACCTAATTAGTTCTAGGGATTGATGAGTGACAATAGATCAATTACAGCAGAATAGCGCTAAACGACTTGGTGTACTTAAAAGTTGAATGGTAGATGTGATTCCATTCTAGTTCACCCGACATAGTAGGGCTTAATGGTGTAGTGAAATTAGTTGTTGCTTTATGATTTTTATCCTTTTAAACCACTTATCGAAAAGCCACCAACCATTGAGTTTTAGGATTTTATTTCAAAAATAGATTTCCCCCTCATGCAGTTTTTATAGGGGCAGGAGGATTTCTTGTTATCTACTCTGTCCGCACTGCTTGGCACACAGTAGACAGTAAACACTTGTTGAAGAAACATTACATTCTGATCGATCTACATCCCGATTCTGTCAGAGCTGATGACTGATAAGGACCCTAGTGAAAACTTGGCCTGTGCATGATGCTGGGCATCTAGTCCCCCCTCAGAGGGACTAGACAGAAGACTTGAGTGGAAATGAGACTGGGAGCTCCTGTAGGTCCCTTGGTGAGAATGGAGGTGGAATGGCTACCAGTAAGGACTTACTGCTTTTAAAAAGAAAAATGAAATATGGGTAACAAAGCTTTGAGAAAAGTCAGTATTTAAAAGAAGCCAAATGTTCTAGATTCCAATGCTTAAAAGCTTAACTGTAAGAGAAGTGTGCAAGGATTTTCATAATTTAGTCACAGATCTGGGATACTTGGGGTGGGGGGGAGGAAGGCCTTCTGTGTGTCTGTACATTTCCCTATTCTGAGGTAGTGTAAGAAGAGCTTGAATAGCTACAATAGGTTCACAGCAGATGCACTGGAAAGCAATCTATTTACCCTAATACTTAGGTAAGGAACTTGGAAACAAGTGACTGTTCATCTAATCCATAAAGTTGTTAATAGATCAGAGGTAGTAGCATTTTCATTACCAGTGGCTAAAATAGCAGCTTGTTTACCACTGATCATGCAGCAGTCCTTGCTTTTCCCAAGAATTTTGTTCTTAGGTTCCAGCTAAGGTGGGGGAAATTGAAAAGTTTTCTGTTCAGAAGCAAGTGTGATGTTCTCTGCCCTTCACTTTTTAGCGGGGCTTCAAACTTGTTCGTTCCATTTGAACCCCTGCTGAGAATTTGCTTTTTCCACCACAGGTATACGGAATCAGAATCTACGTTTTAACAAGTTCCCTGGTGATCTTATGCTCTACTAATGGTTCTCAGAAATGGTCCCTAAGCAGCAGTATTGGCACTGCCTGGGACTTGTTAGAAATGTCAAATTCTCAGCAGCGGTTCCTAAACAGGCTTTTTAGAAGCCTAGTTCTGAATTTTGTCTTTGGGTCTCTTGTTGCTTAACACATTTCCTCAGGACTTAAGGCTGACTATTAGGAGCCGTTCTTAGATGGGGTTCAAAGTAATTACCAAAGAAGCGCATTCTTTTCTAGTGAAAAAAAGAATTTTTACCCCTAAAGACGTGGGTACTAAGCAATAAAATGTAAGCAGATGTTAATTAACTGTAATTTCCTCTTACAGCTGTTCGCAGATAAAGTTCCAAAGACAGCAGGTTGGTTTCTTTTTTCTTTAACAAAGATATTTCAGTTTTAACAGTTTTAGTTTACATATATAAATACACTTTTTTTTTGCCCAATAGAAAACTTCCGCGCCCTGAGTACTGGGGAGAAAGGATTTGGTTACAAAGGTTCCTGCTTTCACAGAATTATTCCTGGGTTTATGTGCCAGGTATGAAATTTACTTCATTTTAATGTGGGTTCTCCTCTTAACTAGGGATTGATCTCGAATTTTTTCAGATTGTATATATCTGAGCTATTGTTATTCGGGTTTTAAAGGTTGAACTTTGCAGACTAGGTATTTTTCCAGTATGTTGCCCAGAGACGAGTTAATATTTTCTTTTCTTTACAGGGTGGTGACTTCACACGCCATAATGGCACTGGTGGCAAGTCCATCTATGGGGAAAAATTTGATGATGAGAACTTCTTCTTGAAGCATACAGGTCCTGGCATCCTGTCCATGGCAAATGCTGGACCCAATACAAACGGTTCCCAGTTTTTCATCTGCACTGCTAGGACTGACTGGTAAGGGTAGAATAAAGCAAACAGAAACAAAAGACTAACTGAAAGTGGTGTTCTCTGAAACAGTGGATACTTCCAACTTTCCTCTTGTATCTCTAAGGTAGTATAAGAAGGACTTGAATAGCTACAGATACAGCTAATACGATCTAGAAAGCAAGATACTGTAATAGAGAAATGAGGTGCTTAGCTGGATGATTTCTAGCAGACTTTCTGAGAATGTTAAATTTTCCAATTTTACCCCACTTTTTTTGTGACTGGCTGTATCAGTACATTTCATGGTGCTGCATTTCTTTTAGCTGTAAACAAATGTTAACTAGTACTAAAGGCTGGATAGTTCTTTCCCTTGAGTATATTGTTTGTTTGTGGGGGCCCTATTCTCATCTTGGAGCAAAATGCGGGCTACTACTATGGTGGTAAGGAGCCCTGGTGGCACAGTGTTTAAGAGCAGTAAGGTCGCTGTGAGTCAGAATCAACAGCAATGGGTTTGGTTTTTTGGTTTTTTTGTTTTAACTATGGTGGTAGTAATTGTTCTTCTGTTTTTAGGTTGGATGGCAAGCATGTGGTCTTTGGGAAAGTGAAAGAAGGCATGAAAATTGTGGAAGCCATGGAGCGCTTTGGGTCCAGGAACGGCAAGACCAGCAAGAAGATCACCATTGCTGACTGTGGACAACTCTAATAAATTTGATCTGTATTTTATGTTTTATCTTAACCACCAGACCATTCCTTCTGTAGCTCTGGAGATCAGCCTTCTACCCCAGTGTGCTTGCAACATCCTATAATCTTTGTGCTCTCACTGCAGTGCTTTGGGTTCCATCTTTTCCTTATTCTCCTTCAAGTCTAGCTGGATTGCAGAGTTAAATTTATGGTAATGAAATAAAAACTAAATGACAGTTGTGTCTGTTTTCTCTTTGGGTTGGGGTGTTAGTATAGGTCTTTGGACACAACGTCTTTTAAGCGTCAGTGGGCTCTTCCTATGCTTGCTTAATTTGAGTATTTAAATTTTTGTTTTCTGACCGGTATGATGTTAAGATTAAATGTCACTGACCATGTCCCTAAGGTAGCTGTGAGTGTAATACTGATGTAGGGGCAAGAAAAGTGTGACCAGGTTACACTCTTCACACTCAGTAGTGTGTCCAAGGCAGCTCCTTGCCCCAAACAGGTCACTAAAGCTGAATGTTGAATGTGCTCTGAGGCAGCATTCTTTGTGGGAAATAATGTGGCTGGTTTTACCCTTTGGAAAAGGGGCCATGTTTCTGGACTATGTAGCTGTTTCAGTGTCAGGATGTGTAAGTACTTCCAGAGTAAAATACATAATAAAGCTATAATTGTATAAAGTACTAATAAAGTCACTGGGACTGAAAGGCATATTCCTGGTGGTGTGTAGGTCTGCCTGCACAGGGCATCTCACATTTAAAACCCTAGGTAATTGCACTTAAACACCTCTAGAACATGGGAGTCCTGGTGTCACAGTGGTTAAAGCACTTGACTGCTAACCAAAAGGGTGGTGGTTTGAACTCAGCAGCTGCTCTGTGGGAGAAGTAGTGTTCTGTAAAGGTTTGTTAGGTGCTGTTGAGTCGGTTCAGACTGACCCTGTGTACAACAGCAAAACACTCTGGTCCTACACCATCGTCACAATTGTATGTAAACATTGTTGCAGCTACTGTCCATCTCGTTGAAGGTCTTCCTCTTTTTCTCTGCCAAACATGATGTCCTCCAGGGACTGGTCCCTCATGATAACATGTCCAAAGTACATGAGACAAAAGTTTTGTCATTCACGCTTTTAAGGAGTATTCTGGCTGTACTTCCAGCCTTGGCAATCCTATAGGGAAGTTCTCTGTCCTGTAGGGTGGCTGTGAGTCGGAATCAGGGCCAAAGGGTTAGGTTTTGGTTTCCCTCTGATCTGGATTGTGGAGACCCCTTGTGGTCATTTGGAGTCTTGCATTCTCCAAAATGCAAACCAGGTCAGCCAGAGCCATAGTCACTTGCTTAAATTCATGCTGGTATGGGGCTCTAACACACCATGCTGGGTGCTGTTGAGACCATAAGGAGCCAAAATGGACTGAGTTCCTGCCTTCGGAGCTTTTGAAGAGGAGGAAAACCAAGACATGAGCATGTGTAATAAGATTTGACCTAGTTATAAGGTCATGGGCAGCTTCCCTGAGGAGGAAGGGGTACTGGAACTGAAAAGAGTGAGTTAGGTGAAGAAAGTCTCAAGCAGAGGAACCTGCATATGCAAAGGTCAAGGACCCTGTTCACCCATCAGTTGTCCTCTGGTGACAGGCCATTGCTAGGATAGCCACAGAATTCCCAAGCTGGCTGTGATGCCTATCCCATTTGAAAATAGAGTGTACAATACAATTACTCCTTATGGAGTGATGCTCCCTTTGCTGGTAAATGTTTCCCAATATTGTGTTAAAACGATTACATTACATTTATAAAAACGTTTAAATTGTTTGCCAGGAACCGCTCTTACAGGTAATTTCTCTGTCACTTTTTTCAAGTTTTCAAATGACAGCTCTGAGAGCCTTCTCCTGGACCAGGAGACCTAAAATAACACTCCTGCCCCCGTCTTGTGAAAAATCAGGAAAGGTGTGCATCAGGGTTGTGTCCTTTCACCGTACTTATTTAGTCTATGCTGAGCAAATAATCTGAGAAGCTGGATTGTATGAAAAAGAATGTGGCATCAGGATTCGAGGAAGACATTAACAACCTGATATGCAGATGACACAACCTTGCTTGCTGAAAGGGAAGAGGACTTGAAGCACTTACTGATGAAGATCAAAGACCACAGTCTTCAGTCTTCAGTATGGATTACACCTCAAAGAAAACTGGACAATATGAAAACTGGACAATGAATAAGGAAGATTGAAGAAGAATTGATGCCTTGGAAGTATGGTGTTGGTAAAGAATATTGAATATACCATGGACTGCCAGAAGAATGAACAAATCTGTCTTGGAAGAAGTATAGCCAGAATGCTCATTAGAAGCGTTCAAGTCCTTTGGCCTTTTTTTTTTCCCACTCATTTTTTTATTGGGTTGTCTTTTTGTTGTTAAGTTGTAGACATCTTTTTACAGTAAAACTTGTGAAAACCGGAACCTGTGTAAGGCGGAAACCTGTCAGAATAAAAACTCAAATATTTTCCACTAATAGCGATAGAAAAGTGCCAAGACTGTATCCTGTCAAAGTGGGAAAACTTGCCAGACACGGAAAAAACAAGGCAGTCAAGTTCTGGCTCTCATAGGTTTCACCGTACAGGTAGTCTCCGACTTAAGATGGGGTTCTGTTCTGGCGACCTGTCATAAGTCAGTTCTGATGCAATACCTCAGAATACCTCTTTTCTTTTTTGAGTTTTCATTATCGCCAGCTATATGGCAGTGTGGAACCCTGGTGGTGCAGTGGTTAAACAAAAGGTCAGTAATTTGAATCCACCAGCTGCTCCTTGGAAACCCTAGGGGACAGTTCTACTCTGTTCTCTAGGGTGGCTATGAGTTGAAATTGACGGCAACAAGTTTGGTTATATGACACGTTTTTAAACAGTAAATCGTAACATTGAACATCTGCGAGTGAACATCTGAAAATGATAACATTAGCAAATTACATGCTGCACCATTGTATGTAATACTTATAACAAGATGTACAAAAAACAGTTGTAAATTTGTCGTAACTCAAATACGTATTAAGTCGGGAACTACCTGTATACGCCTTGATTATTAGACCCTTATCAGATATACGTTTCCTGAAATTTTTCTTTCAATCTGTAGGTTGTCTTTTCACTTTATTGATAAAGTCCTTTGATGAATAAAAATATTTAATTTTGATGTGGTCCCATTTATCTATTTTGTCTTTTGCTGCTTGTTCTTTTGTTGTCATATCTGACAATCCATTGTAAAAACTAGGTCCCACGATCTTGCTCCTACGTTTTCTTCTACAAATTTTATGGTTTTAATTTTCACATTTAGGTGCTTGGTCCATTTTGAATTGATTTTCGTGTATGGTGTGAAGCATGGATCCTGATTCATTCTTCTGCATTGTGGAATTCCAGTTTTCCCAGCACCGTTTATTGAAGAAACTATTCCTTCCCCATTGAATGGACTTATCACCCTTATTGAAAATCAGTTGACCATAGATATACAGATTTATTTCTGGAATCTCAATTCTATGCCATTGTTCTACATGTCTACCATTATACCAGTACCAGGCTGTTTTGATTACTTTAGCTTTATAGTATGTTTTGAAATCAGAAAATATGAGTCTTCCTACTTTGTTCTTCCTTTTCAAGATTGCTTTGGCTATTTGGAGTCTTTACATTCCCTATAAATGTGAGGATTGGCTTTTCCATTTCTGCAAAGAAGGCTGTTGGGATTTTGATGGGGAATGCATGGAATCTATAGATTGCTTTGGGTAGTATAGACATCTTAACAATATTAAGTCTTCCAATCCATGAACACAGAATGTTTTTCTATTCTTTAATTTCTTTCAGTAATGTTTTATGGTTTTCAGTGTACAAGTCTTTCACCTCGCTGGTTAAATTTATTTCTAGGTGTTTTATTTTTTCAGATGCTATTATACATGGAATTGTTTCCCTAATCTTCTTTTCAGAATGCTCATTGCTGAAGTGTAGTAACTTGACTGATTTTTATTGTTGTTATTCAATCAATAATTTACTTTATTGATGCCCATTCCAGGCTCGGTAGGGCCAAGGTCGTACTGAATTTTGTGTGTTGACCTTGTACCCTGCCACTTTGGTGAGTTCATTTTTTAGCTCTAGTAGCTTTCTTGTGGTACTTTAAAAAATACATACTGTAATTTTTATTAGCTTTTTTTAAAAAAAAAAACTATCGAGATATAATTTATATATTATAAAAGTCACCTGTTTTAAGAGTACAATTCAACAATTTTTAGTGAATTTACTGAGTTGTGCAACTATTGCCATAAATCAGTTTTAGAACATTTGCATCACCCCGGGAAGATCTCTCATGCCCCTTTGCAGTCAATCTTGTTTCCACTCCCAACCCCTAGGAAACTATTAATCTGCTTTCTGTCCTTATAGATTTGTCTTTTCTGAACATTTCATATAATCAAATTATACTGTGATCTTTTGCCTTACACTATTTTTTTTTAATGACATTAACCTTTTAAAGGGTCCAGGATAAAATATCTTTATAGAATGTCCTTTAATCTGGAGTTGCTTCGTTGTTTCCTCTTCATATTATTTACTTGTTCGTCTACCTCCTGTATTTTCTGTACTAGAAATTAGGCCTGAAGGCTAATTACACTCAAATTCAACATTTTTAGCAGGAAGACTTCTTAGGTGATATTTGTGTACTTAATCCTCAAGTGAAACAAAATGTCAGATTGACTTATTCACAGTGAGGCTAAATTTGAGCACCTGGTAAAGGAGGTGATTGCCAGACTGCTCCACTGAAAAGGGACGTTTTACCTTTTGTAATTAGAAAGTAATCTGTGGGGTGATACTTGATCTGTGAACATCCTGTTCTCCAGAACTTTCACCAATTGTTTTGGCACCAATTAATGACCTTTGCCTGAATCAAGTATTACTTCGGGAGTTGCAAAAATATAGTAATCTTCAAATCAATCCCTCTCTCTCTCCCTCCCCCTCACTTTTCTCATAGCACTATGTACTCATTGATTTTTATTCAGTGTGTTAAAAACAAATATATACTATACCAGTTGCCACTTGTAGCAACTCATGTGTTTCAGAGTAGAATTGTGCTCCATAGGGTTTCGATGGCTGATTTTTCAGAAGCAGATCACCAGGCCTTTCTCCTGAGACATCTCTGGGTGTACTTGAGCCGCTCACCTTTCAGTTAGCAACTAAGTACATTAACCATTTGTACCACCCAGAGGTTCCATTACAAGCAAATACAT